GCTCCTAGTCTGAAGATGATCAGGTGGTTCTCTCCTACTAACACTATTCAGGACTTTTGGGGAAAGCAGCGGCTGCTTTCTAAAACAAATTTTTTAAAAGTGTGTACACTGCTGGCACTTGGATCCTGGACTTTCCAGCCTCCAGAACTGAGAGAAATAAATGTCTGTTGTTTAAGCCACTCAGTCTATGGTACTTTTGTTACAACAGCCCTAAGACAACCATTTTCCACTTCCCTATAGAACTTCTCAAGAATTGCCAGATTCTGAGTGGTCACTAGGAAGTCACTTCTGAGCCATGATATTCTCTCAGTATGCTTTCATGTCTCCAGTCTCCAAAGGATGATTGGATAAAATGTGGTGTATCCATACAATGCAATGTTACTCAGTTACAATGGGTGACCCTTGAGAGCTCCTGCTACGAGAGAGTTGCTACAGGGGCCGAGTTCACTCTGAACTCTCTTCCTCTTTGTTTTGTCAAGTGCCTGACATGACCCAGGTTCAAGCATTAATTCACATTCGTTAGCATTAGTCAGTTGGTTCAAGTGTTAGTTCACATGTGTTAGCATTAGTTAATTAGTTCAAGCATTAGTTAGTATTAGTTACCTTTCTCAGAGGCTTAATAAGTTCCCAGTACTGAGTCCCAAGACTGGAACAGTCCCCAGTAAAGAGGACTTGGGGTCAGGGGGGTGGACAACGAAAGCACAGCAAGATATCACTTTGCACCTAGTAGGATGGCTATAATAAAAAAGACAAAGTAACAAGTGTTGGCAAGGATGTGGAGAAAATGGAACCTTTATACACTGCTGGCAGGAATGTAAAAATGTAAAATGGTGCAGCTTCTGTGGAAAACAGTTTAACAATTCCTGAAAAGCCAAGCCTAGAGTTACCCTATGAACCAGTAATTCCACTGGTACGTATATACCCAAGAGAATTGAAAGAACGAATTCAGATACTGTGCATAAAAGTTCATAACAGCATTATTTACAATAGTCAAAAGGTGGAAATAACCCAAGGATCCATCAATGGATGATTGTATAAAATGTGGTGTATCCATACAATGCAATGTTACTCAGTTATAATGGGTGACCCTTGAGAGCACAAAATATCACATATCGTACAATTCCATTTATATGAAATGTCCAGAATAGGCAAATTATTTCCAGAGAGGCAGAAAGATCAGCAGATTCCAGGAACTGTGGGATAAGGGTGGAGAATGGGAAGTGCCTGCCTGCCTGCCAGTGAGGATGGGGCTTCTTTTGGGGATGATGAAAATATCCCACATTAGATAGTGATGATGGTTGCAATATACTATAAATACACTAAAGTCAACTAAACTGTACACCTTAAAAGGGTAAGTAGTGTGTGAATTATATCTCAATTAGCTGTTACCGAAAAAATAAACTGGTAAACATCCTACAGAATGCAGACACAAAGGCTGAGTATCAGAGTGGAGTAGGCCTGGACAAAATTAATGTGCTGTGTGCCCTGGTGACAGAGAGGCAGGTAAGGAAGGGAAAGGGAAATGAAAAGAAAGGAAGGGCTACCAAGGGGTTGAGGTGGGCAATCCCAAGTCATAATTTTGTCCAACGCCTCCTGGCCATGCCATGGGTACCCACCATGGGAGATGGAGTGAGTCTGCCAGACAGCTGAACTAAAGGAGCGGGCCCGTGGGGAGAGGATTTTCTGGCCTGAAATCTTGGAGGGGGTTCTGTGTGGGCCCACACCTTCAGTAGGACTAGTGGTCTCCCAACTCTCACCCCTGGCTCAAGCCCCAGTGGGCTCCCAGGCCAAGAAATTTTTACAGCAGCTTCAGCAGATCACTCTGCAGCTCAATAGACAGACACAACACCCTGTTCCAACCACGAAGGTGCTGAGTGAGAGGAAACAGTCATCTGCAGGTCCAGCTGGAGAGGAGAGAGTGGAAGAGGGCGCTGAAAGCTCACACCCCAGTGTAATCCCGGCTCTTCCCCTCCTCATCTGGCACCCACCTGCAGGCTGTTTCTCACCCCACTTCCGTTGGCGTTTCAACGGCTATCAGTCAGTAGCTGATGCTGCCCGAATGTGCAGTCTTGGCACACAGATGCTGGGAAGGGTGGCTTGAGGAGAGGCTTTGTGCAAGAGAAGATTGTGTCTCTAAGGAAGCAGGCAGAGAGTGGGTACTAGCGCTGGGGTGAAGGCGAGGCTGGGTGCTCTTGGCTGGGGTGGGTAATTGACTTGCTGTGTGATGGACAGCTGTCACTTTGCATCTCTGGGCCTTAGTCTAAAGAACTTTCTGCATGTGTAAGTATGTGTACGTTTGCTGCGGATCATTATTTCACCTGCTTCTACCTCACAGGGACAGCATTAAGAACAAACAAGATTCTATGTTTTTGAAAAGGCTTAGGGAAAAAAGAAGCTACATGCAACACAGCCAATTGATCATGATTAGCTCCAGCTTAAGTGCATTCTGTGAGAAGGCACAAATATCTGTGATTGAGTTTGCTCCTGCCATCCTGTGCCCAGAGCTTATTATATTCCATAAAGGTTCTGTCAACTCAGAAAAGGCCCCTCAGCTTGTGATTTGCTGCCTCTCTAGTAGCAGGCTTAGCCTTTTGGGGTTAGTCACGGGTCTGTGGCAAGCCTCCAATGGCTGAAGCCTGAGGTAGGGAGCAGCATCATGGCATGGCCCAGCCAGGGCGATGAAGCGCATCTCAAAAATGCACCCCACTGCTACTTCAGACCAGCCGGCCCCTGCCCACCCTGTGCTCTTTGTCAACTCAGCTCTGACTCATGCTGTACCCAACCGCCCCCACAAACTACCCTTTGCTTACTCATACCCTTCCCCTCCCGCCAGCCTCACCATCCATCAGACACATTCTTACTGCTGTGTGTTTTCTTTTGGCTGCTCTACTGGTCTATCTATCTGTTCCCCACAGTCCATCCTCTGGTAACAAGTATACTACTTGCTAAGTGATCAGTAAGTGCAAAGGAGGTGAGGCTTATGTCTTGACTTCTCTGTTCCCTCCTGGCTTGAGCACTGGAACAGAGGACAAACTTGCAAATAGTGAAATATGCTCGAATGTTGAAAGTGTATTACTAATTGTATTAAGACATAAATATGCACAAGCAAGGCCATGCTGGTTCTTCACTTAAGCCCCAGACAGCTGGAGAGCAATAAGTGACTCTTGGAAGGGATTCTGAAGTATTACAGAATTGTGAGTCTATGAGGGTATATGCATTCTTCTGGAAAGAGAGTGCACGAGTACTATCAGATTCTCAAAAGGTCCCCTGACGCCCAAGAGGTGCCTTCACTACTTTAATACAACACAAGGGGCCTGTGGGTTTCACCTCAGCAGCACCAAAACTGCAGGCAATTCAATCCAAAGCTGAATTTCTAGGGCTGTAGGGTTATGCATGTTCACTTTCAGCTCTCGGTATGTTGGGAACACTTACTGGTTGGTGAAAGCTTCCCATAATCCAATCTTTAGAGGGAACTTCTATGTTCTGTTCTGTCAGAAGGTCTTCCTCCAGTTGACTGAACAGCTGTATCATCAGCTCCATTATTCAGCTCATGGACCATTCCAATCTCACTACATATGCCTTCTAGGGTTTCCCATGCATATCTCCAAGAAGAAACTGGAAAGGGCCTCCTCTCTTGACAGATGAAAATGAGGCTCAGAGCTCCCAAGGGGATGTTGTGACTTAGTGCCAAAGCAAGGATTCAAACTTAGGTCTCTTAATTGTACCTAGAGCCACAAAACATGAGGCCTAGAGAAGTCCCTTAAAATCCAGGCCAACAACTGGGGAAGAAGATAAAACAAATCTCTTTATTTTCAGGGGCCAGTTCTCAAATCTCAAGCCTTCATCTGAACTTGGATTACACAGCCTAACAAAAAGGACCCCTTGTACAGTGGATCTAATAGGTTTGTCTGGCTCTTTTCTTACTATACTATCACTTTGAAAAATTTCTAATTCTTCAACAGTGTAACAAATGGACTTGTAGCTGAAATGGAAATACTAAATCAACTACTCCACATGATATCTAATTGCTAATGACAGGTTTGTAGTTAACATGTGTCACTCACTGCCTTCCTGTTCTCCCTTAATAAATTAAGAATGAGTTCTACTATTACTTGGTTAGCTATACTCTTTTGGGAAGGAGGCTTTTTTTTTTGGGAAGATCAATGAACCTTTGAAATGGACAAATAAGTCACTACCCTCAAGCGGCATTTACAGAAACAATGCAAGGCATCTGGCTGAGAGTGGGGAGCATTCCTTTGTATTGCCTACACCAGCATTTCCCAAGTCTGCTCTGCAGAACACTTCAAGTCCACAAGACTCTCTGTGAAAACAAAATTCACTTCAAGTCCACAAGATTCTCTGTGAAAACAAAATTCTGTGCTTCAGATAAAGTTGGGAAAAGATCCATATTCTATGCTCCCAATATCTCTTTCAACATGTTATAGGAGCTCAGAGGTCCCATGGTAAAGAAACCTAATGATAACTCAGCATTTTCCCTGGGTGACATTACTGAACCACTGGACTCTTTTTTTCCTCCCTCATCTATGGAATAGCTATGAACATCCCAGGGAGACCCTTTGGGAAGTGCTGTCCTGCACCACATCTAATAACTAGATATTTTGAGGATCTGGATATTTCCCATCTTGTGGACGCTCTAAACTACTGAGCTCAGGACCCTGCCTGCTCCCACATGCAGTCACTCAACCTTCAGCTAAAGCTAACATGCTTCTCCTAGGTGGCTGCACACCTTTCTCCTACATCTTTTCTTTCCCTTCCCTCCCTTCATCGGTGAGCCCTGTAAAACGAGAGAAAACGTCCACTGTGAAACACTGTACGGTGCTATGAACTTGAATCATACAGTTTGCGACTCACAGCAGCAGCCCAGTGACATGTGGAGCTCAGGATACAAAGAAGTCAAGCCCAGGAGTCTGCGTTTTTCCTGCATCTGAAGAGAAGCCAGTGAGTGATCTCAGCAGTGAAGTTAACTTGATGAAATTTACCTTTCTGAACGACTGTGGTCTCTGACTCTGGGACGGCCGGAGGAGAGACGAGGTTGGAGACAGGACCTGTCAGAAGGTTAGTGAAAGAGGCTATTGCTATCATATTCTCTGCTGAAGGAAGAAAAGAGGCATTCAGTACTTGAGGATTAATTGAGAAAACTTATCCCCAAACACGCTTTTTGTTGTGTTTGGAACAGTATTAGCAGCAGGCTTCATAAAGTGGTCCCTGGAGGCCACTGGCAGAGGCTGCAGGGAAGGCAGTGGTGAATGAAGGCTCAGGGCTGCTGGGGCAGTGGGAGTGAGCGCTATTAGGAAAAGGTAGTCCACCTCTACCTGGAGACAAAGGAGGTAGCTCCCAGAGGAAAAGAGAAAGTACATGCTTCTCCTCCTAGGAAATCCTCTAAGTACTGAAGCCAAAGTCCCTGCTGGGCAAAGGGTAACAGAGTAAGAGAGTACGGAACAGAGAACGGAAAGGAGCATGAGGGCATCTACCTTCCGAAGAACCGCAACATTGATCGCCATGGGAGAGCAACTATTCCTCAGTGAATGGAGGTGAGAACAAAGAAATGTCAAGGATTAATGCAAATTTCCAGTTTAAACTGGGACTCTTCATTTGGCAGCCAGAGGCTCATATGATGGCCACTTTCCTCATTTCATAGTAAAGTGAGGTGATTGTAGGGATCAGAGATTGAGCCAGTAAATAAGGGGTGCTGCCATCTTTGGACTTAGAAGGCTGGAAGTGCCATATGAAGTTCAATCATTGCTTTGGACCAGTAATTCTCAAAAATGGACCTCTTAAGTCTCAAGAGGACCACTGTCTCCGGTGGGAGTGGTTTTAAGCTCCACACATCAGCCCACCCCTGGCTGGAATCACCGAGCACAATGAGAGATGTCACTGATGGAGGTGTGGTACATGTAGACAATTTGGAGGCAGAGAAGAATTTGAGAGCCACAGTTCTAACAATTAGAGCAACATCAGCGACTGTTATGGAGTGACTTGTGCTAACCATTGCGTGTTCATGTGTGTTAGCTCTGTTCTCCCTAAGGCCACCCTACGATGTAGGCATTATTGTGTCCTTTTATACATGAGGAAACTAAAGTTAGGAAGGTGTCACAGTGGAGCTGAATGCAAGGTCTCTGGCCGTAGAAGTGGAGCTACACTGTATTGCTCTCAAGATCTAGATCACATTACATGAAGCTACAGTTGGGATGAAAGAGCCACCCGCACAAAGTCCCTTCTGTCCCTGGAGTTGCTTTTCCTGAGTTCTTCTCGCTGTTTCCTCCTCAGAGGAAACCACTCTAGCTTTCACAGACACATAGAAGGTCTAAAAAGTATAAGGTAGCTGACTGAAAGGAAGCACTTGCCCACCTCATTTACTATTAGCCTCAAATGGTTAGTGAGAGTGACAGGAGTAGGAGGAGGTGGCTACAACCTGGGGTTGTGGCTTTTTGAGAACGGTGGAGAGATGGGACCTTTAAAAACCACACGTTACCTTATTAGTTACGGGGCCAATGAGATAATCTTGAAAGAGAACAATTCCCTCTACACACTTGAGAATTGCATTGGATGGCCAGTTCCTCTCCTCAGAGGCCACCAACCCTCTACTCAAAGCATGGTCTGGGGACCAGCAGCATTAGTGTCACTGGACAGCTAATTAGAAATGCAGAAATCTCAGACTCCCATCCAGACCTCTAAACCAGCATCTGTGTTGCAGCAAGTTTCCCAGTGACTCATGTACGTTCATTAAAGTTTCAGAGGCACCACTTTAGGTCTTCTGGTACTACAGCCCATGTGACTCCAGACCTTCAATAATGTCCTAGAAGTGAGTCAGCTTCTCAGAGGTTAATGAGTAGAGTGAGAAGGCTTTTTAATCCCAATGTGCATGTGATGTTTGCTCCACATTGCCTCAGTCTATGCCCCCTGGGAATATAAATGCACGCAATCTCAGAACTGTGCTCCCTGCCACTCATAACCTTTGTCTCAAGTCCCATCTCTATGAAAAATGACAAAATACATTTAATTCAAGACCAGGATCCTGGAGAAGTGAAGGTATCAATGCAAAATCTCAAATACCTTAAGACCACAGCAGTAGTTCTCCACTGAAGGCAGTTTTCCCCCCAGGGGACATGTGGCCATGTCTGAGACCATTTTGGTGGTTGAGAGTGGGGGAGGGTGCTACTGGCACCTAGTGGACAGAGGCTGAGTGGAGGGATCCTGCTAAACATTGGCCATGCACAGGACAGCGACTGACAACAGAGAATTCTATGGCCCCCAAATGGTTGAGAAACCATGGCTAGAGGGAATAGTAAGTACAAACAATCTGATCCCTAAATATTCAGTACACAGCTAGGACAAAAGGGAACCCAAAAGGGCTTTCTCCATTCTGACCAACTGCTCTGGATTGGTCATGAAAGCTCTAGCTGCCCTTGAAAGAGTCATGTATTTTGGCTTAGAACATTGAGCCTTTCTTCCACCTGATGTTGTTTTTCCAAACTACACCTGGTAAAACCAACTGCTCAGGAAGCCACCATAAGCACGGAGTATCTTTTTCATAAATATCAGTTTTCACAATTAGCATTAAATGAAACAAGAAAAAAATACTTTCACTGTTTTCTTTCTGCAGCCAAAAGTATATACTATAAAGTTGCTCAAAAGTAAAATAGAAAAAAGCCTAAATCAAGAAGTAGCTGTAAGAAATACCAACCAATAGAGTTAACATAAGTATTATATGTGAACATTAAAGGATTCTGAGTGTCCTGGTAGCCAGAGAAAAAAGTTCCCCCTTTCAAAGCTATCCCTTTTGGTTTCTAAGAGTGATGTATGAATACTTTAGGATTCTGAATGAATTGGCCAGGGACACTGATGATCATTGCACTGAATGTCCTGTCTTTCATTTTTCTGCCACTTAGAGACACACATTCCAACCCTCTGTACCAGGAGGAATGTAACTGCACTTACCTATGGGTCCAGATGCCACGTGAAGTATAAAGCAAAATGTAAGGCTTGGGAGAGTTGCATTTATCTTTATTTATAATACAGTTATCTGAGGGCAGGATTAGTCTCTAACCCCCAGCCCCCAAAAGCCTACAATACTCTGTGAGTGGCAAACATTTCAATATTGAGAGGATACTGGTGAAGACTTCAGTCTATGCAGTTTGAGCTCTTCCTACAAAAACTCCCCTTTGCCTAAAACAATTACACAGTAGTACATATGATGCTGTATGCTCATCAAACCTATTTTCCTCATCCCCATGGTCCACTACATTTCACAGCTTCCGGCACCCAGTTCCACTACACTTCACCACTCATCTGCAGTTAGGTGGGGCCATTTCAATGAGTTCTAGTCAATGGAATGTGATAGGAAATGACATGCGTGCCTACAAAGACTGACCTGCAAAACCTCTCGCACCATTTTCCTTTCCTTTCCCTAGACTGAGGGTTGCATGCGGAGGACTCTGAGGCCCTAGAGGACGGAAAGGCCACTACAGTGGAAAGAGTCTGGGTCCCCAAATGACTGCATGAAGCAGAGCTCTCTCTCCCCACAGCTCTCCCTCTCTTGTGTTTAGCCAATGAGATGTTGAAGTTGTTAGAGCAACTGGTTTATCCTGACTAATTCTTTTGTCTTTACAGATATAGTCTCTCCTCCAAAATCATGAGTCTAAGTTTCACTTTAGCCTGTAAGTGCATGAATATCACCTATACTTCCTACCATTCACCTTCCACCTCCCTCTTCCATCTTGACAACTGTTCCCCATAACACCAAAGGCTGGAACTGCCTGGAGTCAGCATGCTTAGAACTCCCTCTCTGATTCAAATTCCTATTAAAAGCAAACCAAAATGAAATCAAACTCAGAAGCTTGGGAGGTCCAACTTTTCTCAGGCCTGCTGCCTGATGGCAATCAATTCTTGGATCCAGTGGCATGTAGGACCCAGCACACAGGTCTGGCTTTATGTTCATGGCTGGTCTACATAGCACTTAAGGAATAATTACTGTCCCAGTGCTTTAGTTCCTAAGCTGTTCCCCCATGTGTCAATGTCAATGACCAGCAGGGCTGAGGAAATGCAGGCAGGGTCAGGCAAAAGAGACAGTTAGGCCAGATAACCTAAAAAAGGGCAAGACAAGGATGGACATGAAAAAGAAACCTGGAAAGGTGTTTTTGGAAGGTGTGGTGGTCATTAGGGCTATTCATCAGTATTCCAGTTGTCCTCCTTCCATTGCATTTCCCTGTCCCCTAAAAGTCAAAGCATGGCCACGTGACTTGCTCTGGCCAATGACATATGAGCAGAAATACTGTGTCACTTCTGGGCAGAAGTCTTTAAGAGTTAGGGCACAATTTGCTCCGTTCCCTACCTATGCCACTGAACTAAATTCCAGATGGTGATGCTCTGCCAACCAGGGTCTCCAGATGAGAATGACATGTGCTAACTTGAGACAAACATGTGGTGTGAGTAAGGAATAAGCCTTTTGTGGTTTTAAGGCACTGAGATCTGTAGGTTGTGACTGCATCATAGGTTAGCCTATTGTGATTGTTATACAGTATCCAACATTTGAGAAGAATGGATTTTCATATTCAATATGGAAAGATGAAATCTATTCCCACCATTTTTACATCTCTTTCCAAAACAAATGGAGGACAACAGCAGTTCCTTCCCCAAAGTGATACTCATAAAGTACCCGAGCAACTGAAACCAGGCCTCACTAATTTGACTTAGCCCACTGTGTCTAGAACAGGATTCACAGGTCAAATCTAACCTGAGATTTGTTTTTATAAACAAAGTGTTACTGGAACACAGTCATGCCCACTCATTTACATATTGTCTCTGGCTGGCTTTGGAGTATAGTGGAAGAGCTGTTACAATAGAGTTTGTATGGCCTGCAAAGCCAAAATATTGACTACCTGGCTCTTTACAGAAAAATAATTCCTGACTCCTGGTCTAGAAGCCCCCAAATGGAAACAGATCCATGGAGTATCTGGAAAAGAAATCCAACATGCACTACCACTCAGAGTAAAGAGTACATTCTCATGGTAGCTCTGCAGCTGACAGTACACAGATCAAGAGTTAG